CAAAGTGTTCATGTTGAGCCCGCCTTGCAGGGCTGAAAGGGCTTCTCTGTCAGTCACCTGTTCACAGTAGGTGATTTCGTCTGTAAACCTGGCGAGATAGCTTTTCACCGTCTCCCTAGGGGCCTGCCTCATATCTTGCAAGCGTTGCACTGGTGCCTCTCCTTCTCTGTGTGAGAGGTATTGGTTCAAGAATGCTTTCTTCAAATCTGGCCAACTTCTAATGCTTAGGGGAGGAAGCCTGTTGTACCACACTTCAGCGGCTCCGCCTAATATTAAATGGAAGGCTCTGCATTTCAAAGCGGGCGAGGCTCCCCTTAGGCTCATCTGTGTCATGTACTTGGTGAGGTGCTTCTCCGGGTCCCACTTTCCTTCATACTTGGGGATCTCAGGGAGCATGAAATTTGCTGGCATTGGGAAGCTTCGGATATCCCTTGAGAAAGGGAGGTTATCATCATCATCGTCAATCTCATAAGATCGACAGGGCCCATCTGATCCTTCATCATCTTGAATGTTCTGGGGAGGTGGAGGTGCCCCTCCTCAACTCCCCCAATTAACTAGGTTCCTCCTGTCCCTCCTATTTCTAGGAAGAGGAGGGGTCTGTTCTTGTTCCCGATCCAACCGAACTGATCTTCTCACTGGGCGGACCCTATTGCTAGGATCGTCCCCTATCCGGTTGAAGACGCTTACAGATCTCTGTTCTTCATATTCTTGAGGAAAGTTATCCCCCAAGTGGGGTTTTGATGGCTGGCTCCCTTGCACATAAGATGTGGCCTTGACGTCCACTTCTCTTTCAAGGAGGCCTTCTCTGTGCTAACTGGTATGGCCTCGGGAACAAGATACTGGGGCTTCCTACACTGGGTAAGATCCTTGGGACATTTGAGAGCCCAGGTGACCTCAGGCTTGCATGAGGAGTTCATGCATTGCCATATTCTAAGCTGTCTCTCATACCCGTAACTATTTGAGTCATTCCTTCAGTGAGCATGGCTGTTCTTCCACCTCGACGACGCCAATGATGGGGTCTCTGATGAGTAACATTGTTATGGAGCACCTCTTCTTCAGAGGTCTCTCTCATCAGGTTGTCGTCTTCGTGGCTATAGCTCATTCTATCTCTTTTTTCAAGGGTGGTGAGAACTTGGATTGTAACTCGACTTTGTTCTTTTTCAAGAACGTGCCCTATTCAGGGTTAGTCGCTATTTTTCTGGTAACTTCTCCAGTAGAGAATGCGGAACTTTGAACGGGAAGTGCTTTCCATAGACGGCGCCAATCTGTTGACCTCGAAAATTGGACCTTCCACGTGGCCAATCGATAGCTACTCCACATATTCCTCCCTGCACACAATCAACGCACGGTCAGATGCAAACGGTCGGGACCAGCGGGGGTGGTGGCGGCCGTATACACTCCGACGGTTAAGTCATGTTCAGGTGGTCGGAACAGTACCCAGAGGTTGTGTCAAAAACACTATGGGGAAGGAGAAAATATATAAACTTGCTATGGAGTGCTATGTAGTAAGAGTTTCATTACCTTTGCCTCTTGCCAAACCTTAGCTATTTATAGGTGGGATGAACCGTTGGATGTGGGACACGTGTCTGACGGTATGAGGTGACAGCTCATAGGCGTCAATCAGCCGCGTCAGTAGAGTGGGTGGGCAGTTTGTTTCTCCCGAGTTGAGCTGACATAAAGTTGATAAATCACATCAACTAGCCTCATGGAGACGTCAAGTCAATTTAAACCTTAGGTGCAGAGAGGATCTTGGCAAAAATCTCTTTCTGAAATTGACGGCGGATCTTATGACAGAGGTCCACTTCGCCTCGACCTCAGGGGCGAGGGCGCTTCGGTCAGTTCAGCAGGATCGTCTATGTCTCGCAGTATGCTATCAGATCATTGACATTGGTGAGATCACTTTGGAAACACTTCGGATGGGTGTCTATCAAGTCGGAATGTGTGATGGTGGACATTCCGAGGCAGTTCAGATAAGGGCGTAACATGAAACATCAAAAGGAGCGTGGAAATTTTGTATTGGTGGCATCACATTTGGAGATTCCGAAATGGTGAGGACATGAATATATGGAATATTTAAGTTCTAGAGAACAAAAGCTATATGCCAGATTGAAGAAATGCAAGTTTCTTGTAATAATTTTATACTCGAGTTATGTTGTTTCTTGAGTGGGGTCAAGCCTTTCTTCTTTCCATCGTTGATTCACTAGCTCTATTGTTACACCAATTACATAGTGTTCAAAGAAAGACAATCTCAAATGGATAACTAAGGCACAAAAATGTTTTGCTCTTATCAAACATAACGTAACTGAAGCCCTTATTCTCTCTCTTTCAGATTTTGACATTGTTATTAAAGTTATTTGTGATGCCTTTAATATGAGGAATCAATTCTATCCTTGGTGAAAAATGCTAAATTTATCTCTTTCTTTAGTGAAAAAGCTAAAATATATCTCGAAAAATTTATTTGAGTTATGAGAAGGAGTTCTATGCAATATGTCGAGTTTTGAATCATTGGAGTTTGTAAGTGTTATACCCTAAATCCAATCAATTTTGGATATAAACACTGTTAATATATAATTGATGCAATTTTCTACCAAATCTATTATTTAATTAATATTCTAATAAATTAATTAATGGAATATATAGATTCAAGTTTTGGTAATCTGTTAATCACAAATCACAAGGAATTATGATTGTGAGATACAAATTACATATGATTGAATCTTAAATCATTCGTGGTCATAAATAATAATAAGATAGGGATACCATTATTATAGATAGACCATCATGGGTGGCATTTCTTACTTGTAAAGTAAATAGCCGATATCACAATTTAAAATGTGGTAAGACTTAAATGAACACGTGAATATTTTGTTATGAAACAAAACATTGGAAACTAGCTAGGAAATTCCATATAGATAATTATCTCGGTGTCAGTGATTAATCTCTAATGTTCGGTAATAAAATTGATCATTTAACTTGAGGTTATCATAGAGCCTTATATGAAAACAATCATACTTTAGCGATTTGGATGTTGCTCTGTCAAGGGTCGCTAATACAATATCGTTTGGGTATGTCAAAAATAGTATGAAGATTATGAATGATTAATAGATGATTCGTCATTCTTAGATAGTAAGATATTATGATCTACATTTCATCCAGTTATATTAATAATGAAATCATTGGTCGAGGTGTACTCTTAATTCGAAAAGGAGTTTTCAACTTATATCGACTTAATAGTGGAATGAAAGATATGATCGATAACTGAAATTGACACATATCCATATCTTGTAATTAATTGAATCATAGTGATGAAAGGATTATAATTTTACAGTAAACAAACAATTTTGATTTTATCATACTACCAAACATTTTTCGTCACAAATATTGCCCTCATATGGGAAGATGAAAGTGAATTAATGATAAATGAAAGAGGAGTATTTTAATTTATCGATTTTGATTAGACCAAAATAATAATTCGTATCGTTAGTTATCGTGATTGAGAATCTAATAGGTCACACACAAAAGGAGAACTAAAAGAATGATCACCAATTAATTAATGGAAAAGTGTTGAATAATTAATTAATTGGATTGCTTGTTAATATTCTTGAATTAATTAATTAGATTAATTAAGTCATGAACCAAATTTAATTAATTGGATTAAATTAAATATTGGACGGGATTAAATAAAGAGACGAGTCAAGCTCGTTTAGACTTATATTAAGAGGCTACTAGGATTTGAAAAACAAAAGAGAAATCGTCCATCTAATAGTAGGCTCCTAGAATTTGAAAAACGGAAGTCTATTTACCAATGTATATTAATAGACACTAAAATTATTCATCAACAATTTCTATTGTACGTTGATTTTCTTTTTGAGGCAAATCGTCAGTCTATTTCCCAATGTAAACTAAGAAGTCTATTACCACTGAAGCTCATTCAGGACGAATTGGAGCACACTTTGGAAGAGACAAAACTCTTGCTTTGTTATGAGAAAAATTCAATTGGCCAAAAATGGAGCAAGATGTGAGAAAATATGCAAAACGTTGCAAAGTTTGTCACTAAAAGTTATAAATGAAATACTGGTTTATACACTCTATTACCTATTGCTAACGTTTCGTGAGAAAAAATTAGTTTCGATTTTGTCTTTGGCTTACCAAGAACCCAATTCAATGACTCTATCACGGTGGTGGTGGATCGATTCTCAAAAATGGCTCATTTGTCCTATGAAACAAAACCAATGATGCATCTCTCGTATTCCTGATCTATATTTTCATGAGATTGTCAAATTGCATTAAATTCCCACGTCCATTGTTCTCAATTGTGACTCAAATTTTTAAGTCATTGTTGGTGCACTCTTTATAAAAATATGGGGACTAATCTTTATTTTAGTTCATCTTATCATGTAAACTGATGGTCAAACAGAAGCTCTCAATCGAAATTTGAAAAATCTTTTCAAGAGTTACATGGAAAAGAATATATGACAACGGGATTTTTATTTTTTACTTTTTGGCTCAAATTGAATTCGTTTATAATTAATTCACAGCCAAACTACTAGAAAAAATCCCATTTGCAATTGTATATGGTCAAAATCCATTAAGTCCTTTGGATGTAAATCCACATTCTGTTAGTCATCATTTCAGTGAAAATGCAGAAGAAAAAACTAAATTCATTAAAAAGATGCATGAACAAGTTTGAGATAAGAGACAAAGACAAAATGAGAAGTACATGAAAATTGCAGACAAGCATCGCCAACATGTTGAATTCAATGAAGGATATTTAGTTTGAGTTCATCTTAAAAGAAAAGATTTCATCAAGAAAAGTATGCTAAACTTCGTCCTAAGGCTGATGGACCTTTCGAAGTTCTTCAACGAATTGGTAATAATGCATAAATGATTGATAAACCTTCTAGTCATATTGTTTTCTACACATTCAATTAGTATGTTCTTTGTGTTATTTTGACTTCAATTTATGTGGTATCGGATAAATATACGATAAAATATTGATTTCACAAATGCAACATCACAAACAATGTAGTTCATAATCAAAACGTGTTCCAAGTTCAAATAAAGGAACGAGAAAAAAAATTGACAAAATAAGGTTACTGCTGGAAATATAAAATATTCAACCACATTGCATTAGATTTATTTTATTAGGTCCAGTAAATCCTGGCACAACGACAATATCTCACGACCTGTCAACCAACAACCCGTTTTAGCTTGTGAGAAGTAGGGAAAAAGGTAAGTATATGAGAATACTCAGATACGAATAATTGTGTAATCTCGAATAAAAATATTAAATCATACTTCAAAAATATTATACCGTTATATCATATCTTTCAAAACCGGTAAGAGCTCATAATATATCATATATTTAGTATGGATGGCCATTTTCATATCATATCATATCATTAACTTTCATTAGCATAGTATTTAAAAACATAAGGAAATAAATTAAACATGATAAACCACTAGCACCTCATGGTCCTACCTTAAACTTTTGAAAATCTTGAGTTGATGCCTACAAAAATTCAGACACTACAACAAAAGCAGTCTTTTGCAACGTTTGTTAAAAAACATTGCCGTAAGTGTTTCGCAACAATTTTTTTTTATATAGTAATTTATGTAAATTGACTCACAAAATTGAAAATGACAAATTTTGGAATTGTATAAAAATGATAATTTCATTACAAATTTTTGAAATAGTTTAGTATATGTAGTAGCAAAAAAAAAGAGGATTATCATTTCTTCTTTGGGAGGAATAATGATATAGTTTGGTATGCATAGTAGCAAAAGAAATATTTCAACAAATTCTAATACAGGTAAAGAAAGGAATTTATTGGAGACTTTCATTTCCAATTCTAACTATAATCTCATTCCCAGCACAACACGTTCCTAGGAGTAAAAAGCATGCTTCAACCCGCCTTAAATATAAGGTAGACCATCTTATTCCTTAATACCATGCTTTTAACTCTACTTGCTCTATGTTTCAATCAAAAACAGAGGCTATAAACAGGTGTAAGAAAAATCAGAACACACTTAAAGTGAAGAGAGATTAAAATAGTATATCACTTATACTATCAACCAATATTGATTAGACCAGAGAACTCACAGTGTCAACATTGATATAGTGTCATCTAGTAGCTGATAAATGGCATAAATTATGATGCTAGAATAACATGACCATGCAAATGTAGCTACTCAGGGTATCAACTGATATAGGGTTGCAGCTTATGATTATATAACCATGTAACGATGCGAATACAAAGAGATGTGAAGCCTCGAACTGTGAAAGAAGAAATAAAGCATTGAAATAGTCTAAACGGGGGTAAAGCTAATGACAAGATAATTTCTTCTGAGCATGTGTTGTATACAAAAAAAACAAAAAATTGATACACACATCTACCTTACAAATACAAATCCATTCCTACCTTCATTTTTTTCTTTTTCCATCATCAAATTTATATTAATTGCCTTCATGAATGGTGGTTCACCAGGAGCAGGACTTCTGTAGAATGTGCCTGCCATGGGGCATTTAAGTGGGGAAAGAAATAAGCTTGATTTCTTCACAACTTGTGAGCCTAGAATGAAGAAAAGAAACTCGCAAAAAGTCTCATCCCAACTCAAATAGAAAAGTAAGCAAGAAATGGAAAGCTATTAGAGAGCTTGAGTTGTAGCATAATATCTGACCCAAATAGAGCAAGGGCAGCTACTTCTCGATATCATGCCAACAACTAACAAGCCATGTTTACACAACCAAATTTGTAATGGCAAAAATAAATTTATCGGACCTCAAAAGTATTTTAATAAGGGAAGAATCTATCTCCCACAGGGGCTGCAATTTATGGCCATTTAATCAGGTAATTGTTAACTTGCGGTAGTCCTTATTTTTTGTTGTTTACGGATGATGCCTATCAATAAAATTTCTATTTGTTGCAGTAAAAGGGAAATTTATGTACTAGCATATATAGCTAAGCATTATACATATCGTTCCAGCAAAAGGGAAATTAGAAATTTTCGTTCACTTACCCAAAATTTCTTAAAACCGAAGGAAGACTTAAAAGCAAACACTCAAATCTACCAAACTAGTTCTTTATATTTAGCTTTTGAGTGAGAAACACGGATTGAATATAATCCTAAATCCTAATCCCATTTTTTATTCCCATTCAATATTTAAAAGGAACTAGAATATATTAGCAATAAATCCTATTCCCAGATCCCATTCAATATAATCTTAATCCTATTCAATATTTGATCAATAAATCATAATCCCATGATGTGATTCCCTAATCCTATCAAAATTTGAAAATAATCCCACCACCCACTACCTAGCGCACGACAGTAATGGCACAAAATCCTCTGGCTCCACAGCTCACCCCAAATCAGATTCTCAATCTTAAAATATTTTAAAAGAACAAGAAAAAAATATAAACAAAATGAGTACCTCCGTAGCAGTGGCAAACGATAGGGGCGAGAGAGGACATTGAGGTATAATTTGAGACTGAAGAAATCGTGATTTGAAAAATTGGGATTTGGTTTCCGCTGATGGTATTGATGGAAGAAAGACGATGCATGCGACACCATATCGTGCTCTCAAAGAGATGAGAATGAGAGGCTGAGAGAAAAATTCAAAGTCGTCGTGCTTTCGTAATCGTCCGTTCTCATAAATTAGCTGATGAATGTGTGATTGGTGAGGGTTCAGATATATTGGATTGAATTTTGGGTTTACTCTTGAGTTGGGCTGCTGGTGATGGTGTGCTAAAAGAAAAAATGGAGCTTGGGTTGACGAGCCTTTTCGCAACGTTTAGAAAACGTTGCAAAAAGCTTTCTCTTTCGCAACATTTTTTAAATGTTGCTAAAGAGAAACCAATGGCAACATTCATTTATTAGAATGTTACAATGGACCCTTTTAACATCATTTAATTAGTGAATGCTGCCTTTTGCATGTTGCAAAAAGGTATTTTTGTTGTATTGAGATTTTGTATCGAAGAGTATATTTTGACTCACAAGTTGACACAATTTTAACTTGATTATTTGGTAGATCTTATGGATATAAAACATTTTTGATGTGTTTGTTAGTATTGTTTTATAGATAGACGAGGTGGTGTAAAATGGGTGCTAAAGTGAATAAACCAATCAAAAACTCAGAAGAAAGCTAGCGCCTAGACGCCATACTGGGAGCGCTTAAACGAAAATTCATAATAGCAACATGGCGCCCAGGCTCCGCAAAGGAATAGCAAAAGAGCAAAAGGGCAGCTCCTAGGCCTGACCTAGAAGTGTAGCACGGTGCTCAGGAGCTATCATCTGGTGCTTAGGCGCTGTACCATTAGTTTTAGGTCTTGAACAATTTTTACCCTTGAAAAGCCCAAAAAGACTTCCAAATTGGAAAAAAAAACATGAAGAAGAGTATAAATAGAAAAATGGAGGCATTTAAAGGGGGATTCCACACATTGAGAGGCACAAGATACAACTTGGGAATTCAAGAGGAAATCAAAAAGGGAGAAAAACAAGAAACTAAGAGCTAGGGTTTGATATCAAGCTTAATGGCAAGAAGAGAATTTGGTGCAAGATTTATAATTTTTTATCCATCTCAATTCAAAATTCGATAATGTACTCAATGCAGATCTTTTGTTTTTTCTTTCATTATTATGAGTAGTTATATTTCATAAAGGACAAACAATGTACTTTTTTGAGATCATTTATTTATTTTATTCAAATTCTTTCATTATTTATATGTTGATTTTAATCATGTACATAATACTTTAGATTACTTGATCATTAATTCAATGATTTTGTGAATTTATTATGAATCGAGTGGTGAGTTTTAAATTTATACTACATATTAAATTTCGTTAATCCAGTATAACGTGTAGAGATAACTATACTATTTCCCGCGATCTTTGATGAATTCTTAGAACTAATGTTTCATTTAACAAAGCTTGATTCATACAGAGATATGAGATTGAATTAGTTAAATATGTTCAATAAGAACTCGAGATGAATGAATTGAATACAATAGAAGAATTTGATTGAACACTGCATTAGGTTATGAGTCTTGAATTAAGATTTAAATGTTATCAATAGATGAAATTGTTGCGCCCTAATATCTATTCCATATTTGAAACACTAAATCGATCTTTATATGCATCCATTTATTCTCAAAAAGTCATACAAGAAATCATAACAAATCCTACTCTTTGTTTGTTTGCATTCGACAATAGTTAGAAATAGTAAGTTAAGCATAAAAGTCTCGTCTTTGTGCCAGACTCAAAAATCAATCATATTACTTGATACGATATCATATACTTGCAGGATATAAAAATTGACAACATCTTCAAGTTGTCCAAAAAATTATAAAAAGATTTGCTTTCTTCGTAAAAGATGGAGGATTATGAAGGTTCTTTTTTTTTTTTGTTGCTAGAAATAAAATGGAAATAAAATGATAATTATATAATAGAAGATAAATGAAGGATGCATTTGATTGTCAATATTTTTCATGAAAAATGTGTTTTTTCCACCAAAATTCCTACTTTTGTACTGTTCGATTGTCTTTTTTTTCCATGGAAAATATTTTCCTACTTTTAGTCATGTGGCCATATTTTCCTCAAAATCAAGGAAAATATTTTCTTTAGAGGGAGTAAAATTTTATTTCCAAGGAATTCAGTCTCTTTTTCTCTCTCCTTTATCTATCCACTCTCTTTCATCTATCCACCAATAAAAAACGGACAAGTATAATATTTTCTACGTTGAAAATGAAATCAACCAAACACATTTAATTGACAATTTTCATGTAAATAAATTCTAGGGAATTAAATTACTTATAATTTATTTTCTTTCTATGTAAATTCCATGTTTGCAATCAAATGCACCCTAAGAAATATTTGAAAGAAAAATAAACGTGAGTTTAGGAGATAATGAACAGGAAATAACAAATAAGAAATATCCACTCTTTTTTAAATGTATTAAAAATTATTTTATTAAATATAAAATAATCCCCATTAATTACAATCTTTGTATTGAAATAACTTGGACTTAACTTATATGAACTAACTATTTCTCTAGCCGCGGACTTCTGATTAATTAAAGTTATGGAAGGAGTCCAATATTGATATATTAATTATCACCTTATGAATAATTAATTATTTGACCTAAAATAATATTGAATTTAATACTAGTTTGCCTTAGTCCATCAACTTTTCAATATTTACAAAAATATAGCAATAGAACAAGTAGTTTTATTCTATAAAAATTTCTGTAAGCAAAAATGGATAATATCTGAAAGTAATCTTTTCTAATGAAATGTGATCGGGACTCTATGAAGCTGAAGTGGAAAAAATAGAAATTATCCAAAGTTCCGTCTAAATGTAGATGCTTTGTCGTACGTGTTGATTAAGTAATTAACTCAATCAATAAAAAGAAAGAGAAAACTTCAAGAGAAAAACTTAAGATTAATTTCTTAGCGAACTTGAATCATGAGGCCCTTTGTTACTGTTTTTAGAGTATTATATTTTCTCTCTTGAAGTTTTTTATATTTTAATGTGTGTTCGTGACACATAGAAGAAAATATTGGATTATTAAAAATATATATATATA